ACTGTGAAATAGAAATCATGATAATGAGCATGGAGTTCTCTGTCACACTCATGATAAATGACATCTTGCTATTAGTATGATTCTGCTACGAATAATAAACTGCTTTTGAGTAATATTCTATTGAACACGCATTGCAGGTGCTAAATTATCTTCTTGAAACTTGTCTTTTTTTTCATTTGATTGTAGAAGTTAAATTATTTCAGATCTTACAGTATTTGTCTGGTTGCTGTGGGATTGGTTTGTATTACTGTTTCTCTCTATGATGTGTATATTGATTGATGTGTCTGCACTATACACTTGTGGCAATATGTGTGAAAGGAATAGCATAATCAGAAATTACTGTTTTTAGGTGGTGGTGGTGATGCTGCTAATTCACTCTCATACGATTAACTTTGAAACCGGAAGTAATTGCTGTGAACTGGGTGAGAACATTAAACACCAATGATTGGATATACCCTCTGTCATTCAAACCAACAGCATATTCAACCAGAAGAAAAACACAGAGACTTAAACTCTGTGGCACAGTAGGTTTCAGCTGAAACTTCAAATTTTAGGCCATGGTTTTTGTGGTTTTTGTTCCTTTCTAAGAATAAACGTGTGTGATTTTATTTAGGCTGCATCTTTAAGTATTTTATGCTGTTATTCTTTTTCTAGTTTGGTTTTTTAACTTTTTGAAAAATTAGAGAACACCTTTTACTTTTGCATTTTGCTGTATGTCTGTAAATTGTTTCTTCTTAAGGTGTACGTCACATAATAACCCTCTTTGGAAGCGGCAGAAAACAGAATGCTATTTTTGAGTGTCTGTATGAACCACAGAGCTTAGGAGCAACAGTCCTTGAACTAAACGAGTAAAAGAGCCCATCTTTTTGCCACACAATCTGCAATATGTCTTCTTATTGATTATAACTTCCTGTTGAAGCATCTAGTTTAAAAGGAGAAGATGGGCCCAACAGATATGGGGCCTGATGCTCATCTACATTAAGACCTTCCTTTACAGTGCTCCAACAGTCACAACCATGTGAAGGCCCCTTTACACTGCCAAAGCGGTGAAAAGGGGCCTGAATGTAAATGAGAATCAGGCCCGTGATGTACAATAATAGTTTAGTTAGTTGTTCTCTATATCTAGCAGATTTATTCGATTATTTTAATATTCACTCCTGCTACTGTTAAAATTACTTTGTAGCATCTCTAAGTATTAAAAGACAATGTCTTTCCTTAATATTTTTTTCCACTGAACTAAGGTCTATGTGACAAGTTACTGTGTGACTTAATTCCCTAAAAAGAAGAAGGTGCTCTTTCTTCAATAGACAGTTCTGACATATATGTATCATAGTTATTTTTAAGGTGCCCATCACTTAAATAGCTGACACCATAAAAAACAAATGCTGAATGGGATACCAAGAGCATGAAAAAGAACAACATGCAATGAAATTTATACAGAGGTTCTGTTCGATAAAGAACCAATTGAAAAATAATTCCCTAAAGGACCCAGTTTGCCCCTTTATTCACACTGAGTAGTATTTTATCCTGCAAGTTCTCCCACTCAAGTCAATAAGACTACTTGCAAAGTAAAATACTACTCTGTATTTTACTGAGAATTAGCAGAATTAGCCCTATCACATGGTAACTGGCAGAAATTGCTGGGACCATCTATTGGTAATAATGTAGAACTTAAAATGTTTCCTGATAATGTGGATGTTCCTTTATAAAGGGACAGGGAGAAAAAATAATTAAGTTATTATTCCACTGTTTTAGTTATTTCAAGTTAAGAGGTGTGTCAATAGGTGATTTCATGCTGTTTTGGACAACCATAATCGGACAACATAACAGTCAAAGCACTGAACAAGATAATGGTAGCATTCAAATTCCATGAAAGAATGATCTTAGAAAGGTGTGCATGTCCAAGCGGCCCATGCACAGGTATCAGGGAGTTCTTACATTCAATATGTTCCTATATGGGTACACAGCTGAGGGCACAATCTGGCTTTTAAAGTTTATTTCCACTATATGTTTGTACAGCACCTAGCACAATGGGGCCCTAAGGATATAGCGGTACATCTGTAGTACAAATAAATATTTTTTTCTTTTTACTTACTTAAAGTAAAGGCTTAAAGTGTTAGTGAAAACTGGAAGAATGATGAAGCTCTGGGGTAGAGCAATATGTTGTTTTTGTAGGTTCAACAAGGACTTTTGTATTTTTTTCTCCTCAAAACCTTTAATTCTAAAGGTGAAAAGGAACTGGGGTGAATGCCCAGGGCCATGGAAATTATAGGCCCTAGGCCCAAATTGGTATTTTCTCTTTTTTAACATTTTACCACCCATCTGATCTCTTAACCTTCCCGTCTGTCAGCATCCCTACAACCCCACAACATGGTTAGTATGATGACATGATTAAATGTAGCTTTTCCACTGTCACATAAAAGTCTCATTTACTCCTTAGAGTGGAAAGTGAGGTTCACAGAGAGTAATGGACTCATTGAATTTTCTCCAATGACCATGAAAGGGAGAGGACAGACAAGACCAGCTTTAAGAGTGAGGGATCCAGCCACATGGTTTGGAGGCTAAGGCCCCCCAGTTACCTTTTGGTGTCCCACCCGGTAGAGGGATTGGGTTGCAAAACCACATTGAACAGCTGCCAGCAGGAGAGCTGTCCTTGGTGCTAGTGGCTCCCCCAAAGATCCCTGCCGCAGTTCCCACCGAGGAATGCGTGCCTGGTTGCTAATCCATGTGATGAATGCTCTGGTAGCCAGAGCTAAATTCTAATCTGTTTCTCCCCCAACACTATCACTGTCGCTTCCGCCGCCTCCTCTCTCTCCTCTTTCAGTATTTTTCTGCAGAAATCAACATGCAAAAATATTTGCTTTCATGGTCGAGCTTTCCAAATACCACACTGTATATTTTTCTTTAATCTACTAACATTTATATTTTTAAATATATACAGCAACATTCCCAGCTGCCACATACCAACCCATAATTTGTTTGTATCTTGCTGAACTTTTAAAAATAAAACTCTTGAAGAAAAGAAAATTTCTTCCTGCGACAAGTACTGTGGGATTCCAGAAAAGGGAAAACAAGCCTTGTTCAACTTTTTCGTGACAACACCCATTTACCTCACCATATTTCATTCTATTTATCTGAATTCACTTTATCTTTATCACCCTCAATTGATAAGCATGCTGGTTTTGCCAAGGTACTATACGTTTTATTGGCAGAGGCAAGGAAAACAAGAATTGTGCAAACATCTTGACACATGAAAGTGAAACCTGCATATTCTCCAACACCCACCTGTAATGTACAAAGTCTTTAAATCTGGTTTTTAAAAATGGATGATTTGGAAGGGGAGGTGGAGACATTATTTCTATTAGTTGTACCTAGAGGTCCCAACCAATACTGGAATCCCTTTGCCTTCGGCACGTTATACAAACACATACTAAGAGACAAACTGCCTCAGAAAGCTTGCAAACTAGACAGGTGAGAGGTGAGTAAAGAAAAGAAAGAAACACATATGACTATTAAACAATCATAATACCTTGCTCTTATACAGCAATTTTTAAATCAGTAAATATCAGATTGCTTTACAAAGGAGATCAGCCTTATTAACCACATTTTACAGATGGGGAAACTGAGGCACAAAGCGGTGAAGTGACAATTTCTGAAAGGTGACAAGGGGTAGTATAAAAACTTGAGTAGAATAAGCTTAGATTGGGAAGGGAAACTGAGGCACGGTTCGATGAAATGGCTTTCCCAAGGTAACACAACAGGTCGGTGCTAGAGTTGGGAAGAGAACCTAGATCTCCACAGTCCCAATCTACTGCCCTAGCCACGGGGCCACCCAGATTATCCTGGCGCCAAGCAGGATTAATATTTTTTGCATATCTGTAGTACCTTTCATCTGAGGCTTTCAAAACACTTTGCAGCCATCAGTGGACTGAGTTTCACGTCCCCTGTGAGGCTGCGGAATTACTGGCCCTACTTTATAGATGAGGCAACTGAGGCACAAACCGAGGAGGTGACTTGTTCAAGGTCACTCTGCCCGTCAGCAACAGCCTCGCTCTTCATTGGCTATTCCCCAAGGCTGACTGACGACTCTGGAGGAGCTGGGTTTTGTTGGGTTGTTTTTCCACCCCTCCCTCCTGCGCGTGGGGCTGTCAGGCGAGATTAGGCCGCAGCCCAGGAAAGGAGCTGCCTGTGCTGAAGGCGGGCAAGATTACTGCCGAGCAGGGCCGCCCTACCCCCCATCCCTCGCTCCATGGCACTGGAAGCACCATCCAGCAACGGCCCAAGCCGCAAGTCCTCCGCTGACTCTGCAAGAGCGGGGAGGGTGTGCGTGGGGGGGGGGGGGGGGGGGGGGGGGAGACGGGAAGGTTCCTTCCCCAGAATCTTTGGCTGCGAACGTTCTATAGAACGCCAGTCGGAAGCCAGGAGCGCATGCGCCCCCGGGACGGGCTCTCCCACACCGCGCTCCCCAGCTGTTCCATGGCTGGCCGCTGTTCGCCTGGGTGCGTGACATCAGCGGCTGGGCAAGTCAGAACACGTACCGGGCGGCTGGGCAGGGGAGGGGACAGGCGCGGGGCGGGGAGGTGCACCAGCTGTACGAAGAAAACAAGTCCTGAGCTTCTCCAGCCGAGCCGCAGAGGCGGTGTCCCTGCAGCCGGCACTCACCTCTCGCTCGGCGGTGCTGAACCTGGGCCGGGGCGCAGCGGGGGAAGAAAGAGGAGGGCGACGCGGGAGAAAGCCCGGGGAGCTGTTCAGACCCGCCTGCCCGGTGGTGGGCACCGCGGGAGCTGCAGCCACCCCAGGAAGCGCCGCTGCCCCTCGGGGTTCTCGGAGGAGAGGCGACCCGGCAGCCGCGCCGCGCTCTGATGGCTTAGGAGACCGGTGCGAGCTGGAGCAGCCCCGGAGAGCTCCAGCCCCGAGACTTTGACGAAAGGGGGAAGCGCAAGACCGGGGCCCCGGACACTGGTGCTAATTGATGTGAGATCCAGCAGCGAGGAAGAGGCATGGGCCAGCCCGGGGCCAACGACATGGCCAGCGCCGCTGCCTTAGGGAATTTGGAGAAGGTGAGGGAGCTGCTGGACCAGAGGGCGGACCCCAATGCAGTCAATTCCTACGACAGGACGCCGATCCAGGTACAGGGACCAGCGAGAGGGTTCACGGCGAGCCAGGCAGGAGCCTCAGGACCCGGTGGGAGGTGGTGGTACAAAGAGGGGGGACCAAAAAGACTCCAGGGCTGCAGGTGCTGAGCCCTTAGCACGCTCTGGTTTTAGGGAACGCAGCGCCTCGTAGTTCTCTAAAAGCCTCGCAGGCATTCTACAGCTATCATCACACACAGCAGCTCCAAAGTGCGGGGAGCGTCGCTTGTTACTTTCACCCCGGGCTGACTGCTCATGGCGTGGGGGTGGCAAAACGACACATCAATGTAAGTCCTTCAGAAAGTCAGCCCATCCCCTTCCCTGATTGTTCTTTTCGCTATTTATTCGCCATGCACTCAATCATTCTTGCGGGCGATTAAAAAAAATTAAACCTGTTTTTGTTAGCGTGTGTCGCATTTTGTGACTGCTTTTACGCAGGGAGTGTTGTTTCTCATACATGTGCCAAAAATCACCCGTTCCGCCGAGAACGTAAAGTTGACACTATAAATATCAATGATAGCCCATAAAATCCAAAGGCGAAGCGGAATGGGAAATTCTATCCAGTGCATACAAACGCTAGACATTTTTTCACAAGATTAACAAAATGCTGAAATGGCGGTACACCATCTCGGTGGCCGCAGAAATATCTATAAGAAACAAAGTATTTAAAGTCATAAAACACTAAATTTGACTCCTCAGATAAACATCAGACATTATTAACATTCTAAAAGGACATGCTTCGGTTGGCTAGTTATAGATAAAGATATAAATATATGCCCGATTTAATATTTATCCTCTAGTATTTCTTGGTCATTTTCAGGGCCCGATCCTGCACCCCCTACTCAGACAAAGCCCCCATTTAGTTCTTTGGGGGTGATCTACATGAGGGAGGACAGTCCGAAGGAGTAGGCACCAAAGCCACAGTTATGAAATGATCGAAGAAAACTAGTTCATCTCACTTAACGAGAAAACCGAAAGTCTATTAAAAACACGACCTCCTTTGAAAGCAGTTTTAGTTTTAACAACCTATTGTTTTTATCTGTAACTGTAATTGTGACATGATGACTCAAACCCACCAAGTGCTTTAAATTCTCGAATTTCAATAATTGCTATATCTGTGCCTAAATATCATTTTCGGAAAGGGTGCCCTTTCATTTTAAATCTACTACAGGAAGTAGTGATATAATATTTTCGTCCGAGACCGAATACATTAACTAAACTATATACGAGTAGAAACACTAGATCATGGAGGGGAAAAAAGGGTATGCGTTAGAGTGAGTTATTTATGTCATATATAGTGAAGTACAGACATTAAAAACTTTAATCTCCTGCAGGAGTACTAGACAGTAAAGTACATTCTAAATCTTGATTTCTACTTAGGTTCAGTTATTTATGTATTTAGCAAACGTTTATGTATATTCTCGCATAAAACAAAATTGGAATGACCTGAAAAGCTATTGTGTAAGACCGGCAATGACCATTTGTATTACAACATCAACATTTTACTGAAAAGGAGTAATTTATGCATTTGATAATATCCCTTCAGTAGAAATTGTGCTGCATCATTTAATTTGCTGCACTTTTGTGAAGTATCTTTCAGTATTTAGATTTCAACATAAAAAAACTAACTTTAAAAGCAGCGAGCTTTCTAGTATGGTTATAAGGTAAATAGAAATTTTAGTGTCTTCATGGCCATTTGACTAAGTTAAAACTGTATTTTAAATCCCTTAAAAAGAAACACATAGACACAGGCGAATCATTGTTTTCGTAAAGTCGTACCGGCAGAAAGCATAACAGCTGTATAAGTGCGAGTGAATGATCTGCTATTTTAAGCGCAGGGGTGGGGTGGGGGAGTTGGAAGTGCCATAAACTAAAGCAAAGTTAATTATTTTTAAATTGAAATTCAGTATTTTTATACAGAGGGAAAGATTTAATTCTATATTATACCTACCATTCAAAAAAAACAGCTTGGAGGTAGTTATTGCTTTTATTGTTGTTATTCTTGTGCGTGTGTTTATAAATGAATTTCCTGTTTGAATTTTGTATTTTCATAATGAGCAGCTTCTTACTCAGGTAACATTTCTGTTCGCCTTAACGGGAATTCTGCCAGAGTAAGGACTGCGGGATCCCGCCCTTTGGGTCCACCTAAGAACCCTCCGTTTTAGTAAAATGTCAGACTTTCCTAAAACCGGGGTTCACGTTTGTGCAGATAAATGGTCGGTAGCATTTCTCTGTAGATGTGCTCACAAGCTGAAAGCGTTTTCCCCAAATACATGGTGCGTAAGAGGGGATTATTTACAGTATATCACGAATGTGCGCGCCTGTATGCACACTGATGTTTTAATACATACATGAAATAATATACACATTTACATACCTGGGGGGGGACACACCTAAGACTTGATTTTCTGACCATTTCAAACAGCTTACTGTTTCTCTTGGTCTTGCAGCCTTTGTGGTATTCGACGCCTTTGGAGCCTAGGAGGCGATTGACTCTGATCAACATTTTATTAACCTATCTTCCAGATGCCCTGTTGTAGGTACAGGCCTGATCCGATTCCCATTGACTGTAATGGTAGTTGGATCAGGCTCAGACTGAAAATCACAATAGTTAACCCTTTGGCATGAGAATCCAATCCTGCAGTTCAGTCCCTACCCAGGCTTGGCCACCAGTGGGAGTCTTGCCCATCTAAAGAGTTGGCCAAACACGGAGTCAGTGACTGACGGCTTCTGCCCCTCTCCTCTAGGTCATGATGATGGGAAACACCCAGGTGGCGGAGCTGCTGCTGCAGAGAGGAGCGGATCCCAACCGCCCGGACCCGCGCACCGGCTCCCTCCCAGTGCACGATGCGGCGCGAGACGGTTTCCTGGACACCCTTGTGGCGCTGCACCGAGGCGGGGCTCGCTTGGATCTGCGGGACAAATCGGGCCGCCTCCCCATTGACCTAGCTGCAGAGAGCGGGCATCAGCAAGTGGTCAGCTACCTCCGAGCCCAGCCTGCAAGGAATGCCGCTCCGCCCCAGGCATAGGGCCCGGGCGGGTGGCCAGCTCCCTGCGGGGCTCTGCCCTGCTCAGCCACACAAAGCACTGAACTGCAGGCACCAGGTTCGGCTACAGCAGCCGGGTACCATCCCCCAGGACAGCTAGGAGCCGCCTTGTTACCCTGACACAGTAGGCTGGAAATCAGAGGGTGGCAGCAGGGGAGGCTGTGGCCACCATTCATTAGGTTGCACCCAATTTTGTTCATCTTTAATCCAATGCTGTACCCTCCCCACATTTACAGAAGAGTCCACATTAATTGATGTTATAATATTTCCTCCTAGAACATAACTTATTGTCCGGCTTTTTTTCTTAAATGTATGAAGTATAATAAAGAGGAATAATATATTGTAAATATGCCACTTGGAAATGTTCTCAAATGCTCTAAAAGCAAACACGATCTTTGTTTTTGTTTTAGATTTTTACTTTGCACAAATATGTATATTAGCTTATACTTGAAAAAAAATAAAAATAAACATTCAAACACTACCACTGTAAAGGAAACCATGAAGGTAAATATACCACTTAAATTAATAAACTATTACTAGTCTGACAGAAGCCAAATCTTTGTGTATTTCTTGGGTTGCAGTTTTCCTTCCCAGACCTGGAATACGAACAGATGCTTCCCAGTGCCTGGATTTTCGAAAAGATGCGGATAGGAAAGAAGCTAGACGTCTTTTCAAACATAGAAACCTGAGAGGGTCTAATAATTTTATATTCCTAGGGCAGGGGTCGGCAACCTTTCAGAAGTGGTGTGCCGAGTCTTCATTTATTCACTCTGATTTAAGGTTTGTGTGCCAGTAATACTTGTTAACGTTTTTAGAAGGTCTCTTTCTATAAGTCTATAATATATAACTAAACTATTGTTGTATGTAAAGTAAATAAGGTTTTTAAAATGTTTAAGAAGCTTAATTTAAAATTAAATTAAAATGCAGAGTCCCCCAGACCCGTGGCCAGGCCCCGGGCAGTGTGAGTGCCACTGAAAATCAGCTTGTGTGCTGCCTTTGGCACGCGTGCCATAGGTTGCCTACCCCTGTCCTAGGGCCAGATCCAACTCCCATTGATGTTAATGGTTGACTTTGATTTTAATAAAGGCTATCTGAGGCTCATAGTGCTAAAATGATCGTTTTATTTTATTTAACAGGGTTTTGGATAATTAGGGGTACTCCTATTTGCATTTTAGACTCAAATTTTCACTTTACAACTGAAGGTGTAGACTATATCATCAGGTGAAATCATGTAAGATGTTAAAAGTCGCTATAGTAATAAAATATTTGCAATGTGTCCCACAAAGATTAAGAACATAAGAATGGCCACACTGGGTCAGACCAATGGTCCATCTAGCCCAGTATCCTGTCTTCTGACAGTGGCAGGTGCCAGATGCTTCAGAGAGAATGAATAGAACAGGGCAACTATCAAGTGATCCATCCCTTCCAGTCCAAGCTTCGGGCAATCAGAGGTTTAGGGACACCCAAAAACTGGGATTGCATCCTTGAACATGTTGGCTAATAGCCATTGATGGACCTATCTCCATGAATTTATCTAAGTCTTTTTTTAACCCAGTTATACTTTTGACTTTAACATCTCCAGGCAATGAGTTCCACACTTGACTGTGCCTTGCCTGTAGAAGTACTTCCTTATATTTGTTTTAACACTGCTGCCAATTAATTTCATTGCAAGAACCAATAGTTACCCATTATGTGAAAGGGTAAATAATATTTCCCTATTCATTTTCTCCAACCATTCATGATTTTATAGACTTCTATAAGATCCTCCCTTAGTTATCTCTCTAAACTGAACAGTCCCAGTCTTTTTAATCTCTCCACATATGGAAGCTGTTCCATATCCCTAATAATTTTTGTTGCCCTGCTCTGTACTTTTTCCAATAGATCTCTTTTTTTTAAAAGATGTGATGGCCACAACTGCATGCAGTAATCAAGGTGTACCATGGATTATAGGATATTTACTGTTTTATTATCTATCCCTTTCCTAGTGGTTCCTAACATTCTGTTAGATTTTTTTGACAGCTGCTGCAAGTTGAGCAGATGTTTTCAGAGAACTATCCACAATAACTCCAAGATCTCTCTGAGTGGTAACACCTAATTTAGACCCCATCATTTTGTATGTATAACTGGGATTACGTTTTCCAATATACATTACTTTGCACTTATCAATACTGAATTTCATCTGCCATTTTGTTGCCCAGTCGCCCAGTTTTGTGAGATCCCTTTGTAATTCTTCACGATCAGCTTTGGACTTAACTATGCTTTTTGTATGCTTTGCAAATTTTGCTATCTCGCCCCATTCTTTTTCCAGATTGCTTTACAAAGTGCAGTGCCACAAGAAGGAAACTGTGAATGATACAGGTTTTTAGAAATCCTATGCTGCCTGACACTGAAAATACAAAATAGTTCTATACATTTCAATATCCTGATGTTCCCTGTCTCTTCATTTCTCTTTTAATTCCCTAAAAAAACAACCATCACCCATATCCAAGAACAAAATATTCAGGACCAACTGTGTATGTGTGTATATACATTTACAATCAATTTAGGAAAGTCTCACCCCAAAATGGAAGGAAGTCTCAAATACATATTAGGGAGAAATTACACTGAAAAAGTTGAGCTTCCACCAACAAGAGAGAGAAATGAATACATTAAAAAAGGACTATTCATCTAAGCAATTTCAAGCCGTTGATAATGTATCCAAAGGCATAATTTCTCAGCAAGAAAACAAAAAGCTGTAACCCAGAATTAAAAAAATAGAAAACAGAATCCAGTAAGTCAATACACACTCCAATTTTTTATATTTTTTATTTTGGATCTGCGTGGTCAAAATGTTCTTACTATTATGAGAGAGATACTCTTATCTTTATAGAGTTGAAATTTTGGTGGAAATAGAACAGAGCTGGTAATACACTAAGAGGCAAAAACTCACGATAAAAGTAATTTCTTTCTGTTCTCTGACTTTGAATGACCTTGATCATATCAGACATCCTGTGTCAACTGCTCATTACAGAATGAAATTCACCCCGTGAAGAGGGCTAGCAAGACTCCTATGTCTAACGGTAACCCATGACGAATAAGTATAAGTGAAGGCCTTACGCAGCTCCTCTGCAAGGGGTGAATGTTAAACTATTTTCCATACAGATTTGCTCTCCTCATTTTATTTATGTTTCTAACAAATCTGGAGGAAATCTTGTTCAGTTTACTCACATGCGTAACCCCACTGATCTCTGTGGAATTAGCTGGGCAAATTAGAAGGCAGGATTTGGTCCCTTATTTGGATTGTTGCTGTTCACATCCCTGCCATTTAAAAAAGAAATCTCTTGTAAACAGTAACCGGCTCTTCACCAACCAAAGGCCTAAAACAGATTATTCTCCTCCCTCTGGGGAAAGATTAATGGAGATTTTTAAACGGCATTATTTACTTTCATTTGAACTCTGGGGGAAGAGAGGATCCCTCTCCCGACCTTCCTAAAAGCAACCTCTGTAAAACCAGTATTTGCTTTCTGGACTCCATTCTGGAAATTGTGCCATTGACTTCCATGGGAACAGCAGCAAGAAATGTGTGCAGTGATAATCGTGTCCACCAATTTTAACTTCCCTTAGTTGACATGAAAGTTAAACATCAATAGACCAAAATTCAAGCTCTCCTCACTTTTCAGAGAAGGCAGGTGACGGGAGAATGTACTTGTACTTGAGCTCTGGCGACCCATACCTGGACTACTCCGATAGAGCACCGCACCCCCTCCGAGCACTCCCCAAATCACCCAGGACCATTGAGAAGCGTGCTGGGGACTGTGGGAAAAGCAGGATATTCACGTTAAAAAGCAGACACCACGTCTCCAGGTCTGAACCACGGCTCAGCGAGTGGAAGGGTTCATTGAGAGCCTGCAGTGTCAACTCTATAGATTGGGGGGTAATAGGAACGACACTTTGGCTACACATTTCTATAAAGTAAAATTGCCCGAGGTGCCCAGTATCTAAAAATCTTCATGGCTATTGTAACTTCATTGCGAATTCGCCATGTTCATGTTTAGCACCGCGGCGTGTTTATAGAAGTAGCAGAGACATTCGATTAACAGGAGTGTTTTTTATTAGTGGTAACGAAGGTTATGCATAAGCATCAGTAGGAAAATCGCTCCCACAGACCGCGAGAAAGAGAAGAGCAAAGGTGAGCGGTTCTGGCCCCACAGGGCCCCTGGAGAAAAAAATTGACCGGCAAAAATATAAGCACAGGTGTATCATATAGGGCCACATTCTCCGCTGGTGTGTGGCAGCATAGTTCCACTGGAGTCAGTCGAGAGTGGCAGATTTACAGGGAGATTTACAGTATCCCAACATTTATTTGACAATGGATTAAACCCTATTTGATACACAGGTAGGCGTTGCCCATAAATATTATTTTCACACTAGTTATCCTTTGGGGGCCTAATTGTGCTCTCTGGTGCAAGGGGAAGCTTTGCTATTAATCTTTTTGGAAAACTATGGGGCTGTTATGAGGCCACTAACGTATTGTAACCTGACCTTTCTCAATTTCCCCTGCCCCCTCCCCCCCAGCATTCATGCAGTTTCCCTGACTTTGATCCAGACTCTGCTCACTTTATTCATGTGAGTAAAAGGACCAGACAGATGATTTTCCTCTTTAGCTAAATTAGAGCTGCTGCCCAAGCCTGCAACTGGTTCTCCCACAACCATAAACATACCGGAAGAACCTCAGAAACTGGGAGCTGATCCTGCTACTCTAACTCGTGTGAGTCATTCTTACTTATGCAAGCGGTTCTAAGCGGCCTATTCAGCGGTGACGTTCACCACTGTGCAGAGGGGAAACACAGAGCCTATTGCAGCAACTGAGTTCCACTATTTTGAGGGCTGGAATGGCACTTAAGTAACTGCATAGGGCTTGTGCTGGCTCTCAGCGCAGGGGTGAATTTTATCGTGAGGAAGGTTGCCAATACATGACCCTTTAACATAAACTTTTGAACCCTCTGAATGTAGAGCCCATAGTATCTCAAGGGCAGCATCATTGGTTGACTGTTTGCAGCATTGGGCTTTCCAGACATTCTCTTTGCC